GACTATTCCCACGGCCACCTCGACAGACTCACCGTTTCGTACCCATGTGATCTCCATGCAGCGAGGGAAAAATATATGATATGGCAGGAGTACCTGCTGGTCCTGATGCAACTTGAGTAGTCTCAGATTTTTTGGCGCCCTCTTTCCGCTGTAGGAGCATTAACTTCGTTCGGTACATGCTGCTGACATCTGCAGCTCTGGCTGTCCCAAAAGGGGAACATGTTGAAGCTCTACCCTTCAGAGCTCATTTTAAAGACACCACGCTCGGCAGCATACCTCAATATAGCTTAAAAACATATATGTATTGCTACTCATTACTTCTACCAGCCCATGGGGGGAATGGATTATTATCAATATGCGCTGGAGCCTATCATGGTACAGAATAGGCTTTATCGGTCGATACGGCACCCAAAACAGACACTAATTGAGCACAACTTTGGTGTCACTTCAAACTATGTACCTGAAGCTCATTAATTCTTTCTAGAGGGTCGCGACGCGCTGGGGAACGCGGTTTATCTGACGATTCCATAACGCTAATGAGGTCACGTGATCGGAATATGCGCACCACGCCAAATGCCGTGCGACTAGATGCAGCCTACCCCCGTGCAAACATGTACGTACAAATATACCATATTGAGAAGAATGTCACGTGATGCCGGCAAACGCGGGCTTCCTGCCGCGCGCGTGTCCGGCCAGTAAGAGTGTCTTCAAGTCTGGACTAAGAGGGTCATATACACCGGGCAAAATAGATTTTCATTGAAATCTATATAGCTGTGATACATGTGGCTGACAAGGATAATATAAAAGCTAACAGTAAGGAAAATTAATAAACCCTAACCCTAAAAGCACAAATCAAAAGAATCTGCAACGGTAGCATTTGAACTTCAGACGTCCAGCACTCAAAACCGGCCGCGTAACCACTGAACTAAGGAGGCAATACAAATCTCATGCATTAAAATAATATGATGGCAATGTAATAGGCGTTTACTTAATACGGCTGGGTCCAGTTATTTTTAGTGATGCCGCCGGAGGGGTCGGAGGTCACATGATACTTTTCTCGAAAAGGTAACATTTGGTCGTGTTTACGCGGGGGCGCAATAGCAAAGACGTCGAGAGGGAGGGTAGCTAGGCATACAGGTGGGGGCAGAGTATGATGATTTACAGCCCTTAGTGTAGTTGTAGAATATACATTTCATGCATTCTCTGAAGCCTTTCGAGCCGTCTCGGGGCGTCTGCGAGTCCCTGCCCAACAAACGGTCCCGCGAGAGGCCTTCCGGACCTAACGCGCGCGGTGATAAGCCCCAGCGATCTTCTGACCCCCGAAATTGCGAATTTGACACACCATACATCCCCTCCAAAGTTTATTCGACACCACCTGTCGAACCTCTTACGCGACAAGTAACCGACGAAGGGTTCTGGATTTGATTCCGGACCTTCTAACGTCCTCAAGGCAGGCGCAGATCACCGAAATGATTTAGCTCCGCTGCCAGACGCTCCGAAGTCACCCGGAAGAATATCTTTGTGACTAATTATCTCCGGGAACGGCGGAGGCCCGCGTCGCAGTGAGTCATTGGTATTACCACTCCCCAGTCATCACTCCCCTTCGTTTCCGTCAAAGCGACCGAGTCAGCGGACGTAAATCGACGGCCGGACGGAACGTATCAGTCAGCAAGCGGCCGGAGCTAATCCGCACGTGATCAGCCTGCAGTACCGCGTGATGAGGCACTTCAAGCGAGCATTGACGCGTCGAGGCTACCTCTAGGACCTAGGACGAGCATGTGGAAACACGGCAGGATCGTATGGGACATGGTATAGCGGTGGGCAAAGGCTGAGTAATTGTGTGGGATGCGGAGCATATTTGTTATTTAACTCCGGGCGGACGCAAAACCATTCCAATAGCATAAAAATGTATAGAGCGTCGTGGAAAATCCAAGTTTTGTACTTCACCCCCTCAGTGTACCAGAATTATCGTCTCAGCGACCCTCGGAGTCCCTTCGCGTCGGACTTAGC